TTTTTTGGTTTTTCTCCGGTACCGGGAACCGAACTCATGACCTTGCGCTTGCCAGGCAGGCGCTTTGCCACTGAGCTAAATCCCCAGCCCCTAAGCCTTTTTTTTTCAGGCTCTTGTGAACCTTTTTGCCCAAAGTTTTACCCCCGATGAAATGCCAATACGATGCACTCCTGTGATGAATATTGATGCTACCAATGCACTTCTCCCTGCTTTCACACACACACACAAGAAGAAGTGGCCTCTCACCCATTGTTTTCCTCACCCTGGATCAAGTCCCTGTTCTGGCACCGTTTGTGTTGTCCCATGCAGCTCTTCATGTTCCCAGGGGAAAAATTGCAAGAGGATTGAGAAATAAAGATAAGAGACAAAAGCTGAGGTCAGGTGGAGCCCTCTCTCCAGATGGGAGCAAAGGAAACTGCCTGACCATCATAGGGTCATTTATTTATACATTTCACAAAGTTAGAGTCATGTGACACAGGGCTGCCTAGCTGGGAATGTCTCAGGCAAGGTGTTCTACCTGGGCTGAAGCAGCTTCGTTACCTCAGGTGCTCTTTGTTCTCAGACCAGCCTTACTTTGCTCCACATGACCAATTTCCAGCTTCAGCCACTCCCTACAAAATGATACCTGAAAACGAGGTGCCGGCTTCAAAGGAAGAAGTCTTAGAAAAAGTGAAATATATTGGGGCCAGCAGACTCCAAAGAAAGAGTTCTCTGGATTCTAGGTACAGAGAAACTTGTAAACCTGAAGGGAGAGTAGAAAAACAGCATCAACACCCTGTTGGTGAAAGATGTCACATGTGCAGCACATGTGGGAAAAACTTCACTCATAGCTCAGTGCTTGTGCAGCACCAGAGAAGCTACACTAATGAGAAGCCATACAAATGTAAAGAGTGTGAGAAGGCCTTCCGCCAGAGGTCAGGCCTGAATGAACATCAGCAGAGTCACACTGGAGAGAAGCTCAACCAGTGTGCAGAGTGTGGGAAAACCTTCAGCACCAGCAATGGCTTCATCAGACCCCGGAGAATCCTCTCAGGGGAGAAACCCTATAAATGTGGAGCATGTGGAAAGGCTTTCTGTCTCAACTCATATCTTGTCCAGCAGTGGAGAACCCACACTGGGGAGGGGTACTATCAGTGTGTTGAATGTGGCAAGGCTTCCACACAGAATTCTGGGATTTTCCAGCGTCTCTGGATCCACACTGGCAAGAAGCCCTATGAGTGCTTCCAGTGCAGTGAGTTTTGTTGGCGGACACTCCTCATAAAAAATCAGAAGAGCAACACTGGAGAGAGACCATATGAGTGTGACAAGTGTGAGAAAGCTTTCAGTAACCACTCTAACCTCATCAGGGATTTTAGAGTCTATAGTGCTAAGAGGCCCTATGAGTTTGGCGAATGTGGGAAAGCCTTCAGTCACCACTCTGACCTCGTCAGCCATTTTAGAATCCATACTGATATTGAGCTGGACTAATTCCATCAACTTCCAGGCCCTTCCATGGGGTCGTCTTGGAAAGCAAGGGTTTTAAGTGGCCTGTGCTGTTCTTGTCAAATGTACTTTGCTTAAGAACGAATAGCTTGCTACAAACCAAATACCATGTCTCTGGGTGGATGCCTGGGGTATGCTAAGCATCCTCCTTCTCTGTCATTTGGATCATTTCTGTTGGTTTCCCTTAAGGGGACCGAATCTTACTGGCAAATAATTGGCATAGAGACGCTGTTTTTGGTTGGGATATTAAGCAACTTGTAAAGACTAGAATCTGTGTATGGTTTTTTAAATATTAGGTAAGTTCCAAGAATATATATAGGTGAATTATCACATTCATATTATTCCTTAGTTATTGCAGACTGATCAGGCCCATAATCTCCCAAACCAGTGGGCAGTGAAGGCTTAAATAAAAGAGATAAATGGAATGATTTTAGGGCTCAAGGAGGATCCAAACCCTCTCACAGAATTCAAGATTCTCTGGGTTAAGACGAAGAACTTCTCTGGGAAGCCTGTATTTATTAGGTTTTAAAACAAAGGAGGGGAATACTGATGAAAATTCAGGAATCTAGGCAGGAGCTGGGAATCCCTCTAAGGACTTCTCCAGGTAATGTATTATATTAATTTAAGAGACCTATGTTATCTCCAGGAAGGCCTTCACTGTAGGAGTGAGATGCCTGCAGCTAGAGTTTCCTTTTAGTTAATTGGGGTTGGAGCCAAACATCCTCACTGTGGCCTTATCTTGTTCTTTGAGACATCCCAACTGCACAGGCCAATACAGGCCTCAGCGGGGACCAGTGACTCATAGAGGTTCACTTACTATGAGTCCACTGCCCATCTCCAGACGAGGGGCCTAGGCCTCGGGCAAACTCAAGTAAACATGAAGTGGCAATTGGTTAATATAAATTCTGCTCAGAGCTGCTTTGTAGTGGTCTCCATCAGTGAATCTTTTCTGTAAGAGTTATATTTTATACACACTGAAAGCTTTTGGGAATTGGAATTATTCACATTGGTATAGGAAACCATTCCTATGATCCTACGGTGTGATGATGTAGGTGGGTATACTGGTGCATGCCTGTAGTCTCAGATGTTGGGGAGGCTGAGGCAGGAAGATCACTTAAGCACAGGAGCTCATGGCTGGCATGGGCAAAACAGCCTGATCCTGTTTCAAAAAAAAGTGACAGGTGGCTGCAAGTGCTTTCATTGAAGTGGCATGTTTATTAATCTATTGGCTTTACCTGTGTAGTCTTGACAGCTCAGAAATCTGTGTCCCGTTTATCTAACTCCAGATTCTCGGGGCAGTCACTACTATATTTGATTTCTACTTTTGTTATAAATGAGTAAGACATCTTAAAACTTTTCTTTTCCACAAAGTACCTCTTTAATCCCTAGCCCTTTGGGAGGAAGTGACTGCGAGTGCCAGGGCAGGCAGCACCGCTGAAGGAGCTCTGTCACAGGAGAGCAGCTGCTGTTCACTGTGAGCCCCCCTAACTGTCAGGTGACATCATGTGCTGTGGCACTGCACTGCCCAGGCTCAAGCCCTGCCTCTCCGTTTGTGAACTGTGGGACATCAAGCAATTCCTCTACGAGGCTCTAGGTTCCAGCCTCCTATCTGGAAAAGTACCCTCCTCATAGGATACATACGATAAGGTGAATAAAGTGAGCATAAACTTGTACTCGAACCATTGCTCTTAATAAACGTGCACTGTGATTTACAGGAGAAATACCATCTAATCATGTAGGTGGAATCATTCTGTGTCAGAACTGCACAGGATAATGAATGCTGATGTTCTTGTTTTACTCTTCTCTGCCGTCAGGATCTGAATTTCAAAAGGGAATAAATAAAAATTCAGTTTTTAACAAAATTCAGTTTAAAGCACGCTGCCCTAAACTTTTGTCTTTGAAGCTTATTTTTCCTGTTTTGGTTTGCCTTGGAGACAGGGTCTTGCTTTTTGCTATATAGTTCAGGTTGGCCTTGATCTCACTGCATAACTTGGGCTGGCCCCAAACTCATGGTGACCCTCCCATCTCAGACCCCTAAGTGCTTGGATTACAAACATATACATATATTGAGTTTTTTTCCCCTTACAGCTTAGGAACCACACAAACTTTAAAATTCCTTTATTATGTCATTTATAAAGAGAATGGACAATCTTTAGTATTTCATGTACAATGAGCAGTCAGCTGCATTCAGATGATCAACAGTAATGCTTATCAGAATGCCTACAAATGCCCCGGCATCAAATGAAATGCACCTTCTAATGTGAAAGCACAGAGGACACAGGAATATGCATTTCTGGTAGCTTCTCATAAGGCTGCGCTCTGCGGAGGACACTGAGTACCGAGGCCACACACAGCCCTGAGCACTGCTTCGTCTGCGATGTGCTGGAGGAACCAAGCAAATGGCAGCTCCTTCCCACCTGCGCCCCCGCAGCCCCCACAGTGGCAGTCACCACCCTGTGCGCGTGTTAAGGCAGTGAGGGGCCCGTGAGCGCAGCGGGCAGGCCGTGTGAGGAGAGCGAGCCCGCGGCCTCTGTCCCAGCACAAAGTCAGCCACTGTTTACTCAGCAAGTGCAGATAGCACCTCTAAATATTTGCTCTAAGAAAAAGCTGTAGTTAAGAGCTGGGGTTTCCCGACCCTGCCCACCGCCAGGCTGCGGGCACGGAGCTGCCGCAGGTGTGTGCGCACCGGGAAGCCCTGCCTTCCTTGCCCTGCCTTCCTTGCCCTGCCTTCCTTGCCCTGCCTTCCTTGCCCTGCCTTCCTTGCCCTGCCTTCCTTGCCCGGCCCTGGTCTGGGCTGTGCAGGCCTCAGGAACCGGGTCTGGGCTGTGGGGCTCCTGCGTGCCACACTCACCCTCAGTCCCTCGGTGACTTCAGCCCCAGAGCCCGGACAGCTCCTTCCTCTCTCCCCTACCTAGAAAGGCAGAGAAGAGCTCACAGAGGAGAAGGCAGCCACAAAACAGAGCCCCATGGGGTGAAAGAGACACCCCCAAGTGGACAAGATGACAGCAGAAGAGGGACAGAGTGAGAAGAGGGCTGATGGGGCGAGACTGCAGGGAAGAGACGCTGAAAGGAAGATTAACGAATGAATGCACTTTCAGGCTGAGCTGGCCCGAAGCGTCGTGGTATCAGATGCCACCACTTCCGCACAGTTAGCTGCACTGGTAGTGACAGGATTTCCGGCGCCTAGAGCACAGGAGCACCAACAGACCTAGAGGCCCAGGGGCGCTCAGAGCAGGGCTAGGGCATGGGCACCCAGCAGGCACTTTGCAGGCGCTGGGGACATCCCGAACACGGTGTGCGCCGAGCAAGCATTCTGTCACTGAGCTGCATCCCAGCACTTTCTAAAATTTGAGACAAGCACTCACTAAATTGCTCAAGGTGGCCACAAACTTGTAATCCTCCTGCCTCAGCCTTCTGGGTAGCCGAGATTCTAGGCGTGCGCCACCAAGCCTGGAATAGTTTGTGTTCTGATGAGTGTATCCGTGTTAGGTAGTTTAACCTTTCTCTGGCTTCCTTATTTCCTGCGAATTGGTCATTCATAGGAGTGAGCTGATTAGACGTTTAACCAGGTTCAGTTTTAACCTTCTTGGCAAGACTGCTGCGTGGTGGTGTTTTGTTCTTGCCTGAGTAAGGAATGTCTGTTTTCTTTTAGTGATTTCAGCAGCTGTTGATGAAAAATGTTTTCATGCATAAACTCACTGTGGGTGGCAAAATTGCGATATTCTAATTATATCGTTCTTTATTATTTATTGTTAAATCCAGTTTTGTTGCTGTCTTTATGAGTGCTCACACTTTTCTGCCTTCAGATGGGAAGCTCTGTGTGTGGGCGTCTGAGTCTTTCTGACAGACGGACGCCCACGGTTAGTGAGGCGCTCCTGGCTTTATGGGGAGACGAGATGGTTCAGGCTCATGTCACACTGTTCTCGCCTCAGATCTGGATGTGACCATTTCTCCCGGGACCCTTGATCTTTTATTGGAGAAGTTAAATTTTAAGATGACAGACTGGGTCACAAAGGGAGCTCACTGGGTAGCTGTCTATTGTTTCTAAGCCTTTCAGTAGAATATGTGTGCACACGCACATGTACACTTGCTTGGTTTTTTTTCCACTTCAAGACTACAGAGTTTTTACTTCTCATTTTGTGTCTTCTCTTATACTACTAAGAGAATATTAGTATTTCTGTGTGACAAATTAGCCTAAAACTTAGTCCTTTGAAACAGCACATCTTTCCCATGGGTCTGGAATCCAGGTGTGGCTCAGGTGGGTCCTCTGTTTCAGTCTCTCAAGCTGAAAATCAGCTGTTGGTCCATGCTGTTTGCATCTGAATGCCGAAGTGAGGAAGGATCGACCTCTTAATTCACGTAGCTGTTGGCAGAATTTGTCTTGTTGGGGCTCTTGACTAACACGGTCAGTTCCTTGCTGACTGTAAGAGGCAACGGCCAGCCCCTTCCATGTTGGCCTGTGTAGCATGATAGTTTGGCTTCATGAAAACCTCAAAGGGAGAGCATCTGTTGGCAAGACAGAATTTTGTAACCTACACATACAAATGACATCATTTTTTGTTTGTTTTTTTGAGACAAGGTCTCGCTATGTAGTGCAGGCTGGCCTTGAACTAGCTTAGGTAGCTCAGGCGAACTCATGATGATCCTCCTGCCTCAGCCTCCTGAGTGCTGCAGTTACAGGCATGTGCCACCATGCCCAGCAAGTGACGTCTTCATAATAATGCTGTATTCTATTGGTTAAAAGCAACTTATTTAAAAGGACAAGGTTATGGCCTTGGAGAGGAGGCTGTGACATCAGGGGGGAACACTTCAGAAGCTGGCTCACCCTTCTTCCTGTGTCAAGAACCACAGACTCAAAGACAGTAGGGAATGACAGCATTAGAATATCACATACGCATTTACAGTTTCAGCTGTACTAAAGTATCTCCACATTGGCCGTGCCAATTCACCTTCCCACCAGCACAGCATGCTTGTTATTCCATATT